AAAAAAAAAAAAAAGAACTCATTCACTCGTGTGTTTGACTTGTTAGTGGCCTATAGACATATGACAGGTGGCCTGGCTGGGCCACTGCACATGAGGAAGCTGTGGCCCCAACTTGTAAGACACCAACATCACAGCTCCAGCTTCCAGGCCCATGGAGTGCAGAGGGAGAGATGCCTTTGCAGAAAGGAAGAACACCTGCCCCCCTTGCGGCATGTGTACATAGCCGAACCCCAGACCCTGGCGCAGAGTCCCTCCGAGTTTATAAACTGGTGTGCCGAAGTGGAGGTGGCTTGTCCAGGTGCAAACTTGGGCTCTCCCTCACTTGCCACAGGCTCTTAGGTGATAATTTAATGGACATGGAGCTTGTGGTGTTTTGCAAAGACCAGATAAGCTGATGCCCTGTGTCTGGAGCCTGGCGTCCCTGTCCCTGCTATAACAGGGAGCTCGACTGTTCTCCTGTCACTTGGCTGGGAAAGTTCTGCGTGGAAAGCTGGAGGCTGGGAGCAGAGGTTTGCATGGATGAAGCGCTTCTCTTTCTGCTCGCTGATCACCTGGTTCTCCTCGTGCCCCCAGAATCCTCAGATCAGCTGCAGGGCAGGCAGTCCCACTGCCGACGGTGAATGAGTGGAGAAGGCCAGGTCTGAGGATTCCAGCGAAATCAATGCAACATGCAGCCTCCCTGGCCACACAGTGAGCCAGCACTGGGCACCACCCGAGAAGTCTACGTGGGCAGGTCTTAGGGAGTCACTAAGCCCCAAGGACACCCAGGGCCCACACTCACTTATCGTGTGTGCTCCATTCTCCTCTCCGTTCACCGTGGCCTCTCCATTCTTTGGTGGGTTTTGCTGGGAAACAGCCGTGGGGGTTGTCGCAGCTGCTGTCGCCGTGGCAGCCGCTGCCGCTGCTGCTGCTGCTGCTGCTGCTGCCGCCGCCGCCGCACTGGCCTGCTGCTGAGCGAGCTTCTCTCGGAACGCCTGCTGCCGTGTCTGCACCACGTCCGGCATCACTGCATCGATCAGGGACAGGGACTCTATGGGGCGGCCGTCAAACACTGTGCCGTCCTGGGAAAGCAAGCCAAAGGGACAGTCGTCAACGCGCCTGGAGTGGCCTCTGCTCCCCCGGCTAAAGCGGGGCAGGGATGTGGAGTCTAAACAGGTGGCACCAAGCAGCAACAGGGCCCAGGAGAAGGCGACTTTGGCTAGGCGCCTGGGAGTGTGGGGTGAAGGGATCCCAGAGGGCACAGGTGGGGGTGAGGCAGGTGGACATGGGCGCCACTGATGAAGAGCCAGAACAGTGGTTGTTCCCAGCGTCAGACGGAGTTGGGGCACAGTGGACACCTGTTTAATTCCACGACAGAAAGCACTAACCCTAACGCTGCAGTTTCCAACGAGGAGATTCTGCCTCTTTGGGGGACATTAAGTAAGTTTGGTAACGTGTTTTGGTTGTCCAACTGGGGAGATGGGGCTAGTGGCATCTAGTGGGTGGAGCCCAGGGACACTGCTCACTGCTCAACACTCTGCCCTGCCCAGGACGCCCCACACAACCATCCAGACCCAGACCCCATGTGCTGAGGCTGAGAAGCTGTGTCCAGGCACTGGCACAAGGGTGGAAAGTCATGCAAATCCACGCAGGAGGGGTGCACTTTGGAAGCACCAACTCCAGTTTAGAGATGCCTGCGCCCTCCTGGATGAGTCTTAGTACATGTGTCTGCTGGATTTAATAAAAAAGGTGACTTGCTGCTACTGGAAATGGCTCCTTAGGCTCAGGGTGTGGGCTAATATAGCCATGGTATAGGACAAGGACCTCATCAGCGATGCTTCATGTTTCTGAATGTCATTTGAGTCTCAGGTTTCCATCTACCATGAAAAAATCTCCACACACATATTTAGAAAGACAAGAGGAAGTGGCTGGGCATGGCGGCTCACACCTATAATCCCAGCTCTTTGGGCGGGTAAGGCAGGAGCATTGCTTAAGGTTTTGAGGTTTGAGGCCACAGAAAAACGCCTCATCTCTACAAAAGAGAAAAGCTAGCTGAGCGTGGTGGTGCAGCCTGCAGTACCAGGGACTAGGAGTCTAAGGCAGGAGGATCACCTGAGCCCAGGAGTTGGAGGCTGTAGTGAGCTATGATGACACCACTGCACTTCAGCCTGGGTGATAGATGTCTGGAAAAACATAATAAATACATAAAAACAACACAGGAGGAAGTTCTTTCCTTGTGATGTACTCCAAATACTTGAACCATGTGATACAGGATGCCTCAGGGTTGTGCCTGGCACATGTGCAAACACATTTTTACATGTTCTGAACTTGAATTACCTTGGAAATGAGAAGAACTTCAGCTGAAGAGTATCTAAACAAAACATCTCCCTAGCTGATTACTAATTACGAGACCATCCTGGAGGTAAGAAAAATGGTGCAAACCAATACAACCTGTCACTTCCTTGGCCACCCTTCCCCTGACACTGGCCACACAGTGGGCAGTGCTGGCGACTGGCTAGGCTGCTCCATACCCCTTCCTCCCTTCGTGCAGAGAGCAGTGAGAGACTGAGGGGTGCTGTTTAAACCCACACAACCAATTCTCAACACTGGTACGGGGCGGCACAAGTACCCACGGTGCTTTAATTTAAAAAGCAGGTAGGACACAGGCCGATTGGCCTGATTTCCGCTTGCAGTTACTATTGCGTCCTCTCACATCAGCTCTGAAATGCACAGAGTCATGGGATCGTCCCTTGAGACTTTCCTTAACACAAGGGCCACCACCTCACTATCTGGGACTCTCCCTCTGGTCATGCCTGTTCTCAGGCTCCCACAAAATACAGATTCTGCTCGGCTGTGTGGGGGGTCCCTCCTTAGCCAACTTGCCCAGAACACAAGGAGATGGAGCACATCTGTGTATGTGCCAGAGGAGCGCCCACTCCAGGTTGTGAAAGTGCTTTAGCAGCTGGGATTCTCTGTGTTTATGTGTAACACAGACCCCCCGGCAGGGGCTGCAGAAGCTTGCCAGTGGTGTGTCCGCATGACTGCCATCCTCTCACCAAATAAAGCAGTGACACAAAGTGGGGAAGCCCCAACTGACCCTCAGACACAGGGGATGCATGGCAGGTTCGGACCTGCTCCTTGGGCTGCCGAGTGTCCCCAAACTCACGTCTGGGGGCCCCTACATACCTCATTGATGCTGATCTCGGCTTCCACATACTGAAGCCCCTTCTGCAGAATGGAGATGAGGGCAGCTGGAGGCACTAGCGTCCCATTGATGTTGGACTGGCTGATGTGGCTCTCGATCCCGAACGTAAAAGCCGAGTGGGAAAAGCCTACAGAGACAGAGGGAAGCCAGGCGAGGTGAGACAAGGGAGTGGGGGAAAGACATGGCCACTGAGATCTGAGGGTGGCCTGTGGGCTTCACCTGCACTTCATCCATGGGGATGGACACCACTGAGGAATGCTTCTGATTTGGGGTCAGGCAGGCAGAGAGGACAGGGAGAGAGACAGTGGAGAGCCAGGAATAGAGAAGACGGGAAAATAGACGTTAAGGGCAGAACCTTTCACAGTTAGTAGGAAGCAGAACAGAAAATGGAGTTTGGCCTGTGGGCCCCAGTTGGATGTTCCCACCATAGAAATTTGGCTCTGGGCTTCTCCCTGACTCTCTGCAGAGGCTCACACAGAGGCCTCTTTGTGTCCCCAGCTACAGCACACATGGGGTGCTGACTTCAGCTGAGATGAGGGACAGTGCATGAGCTCCAAGGTGCAAAGACTCGTGGGGGCAGATGCAGCACAGGCCCCCAGCCTGGAGAAGATGAGGGAGACACATACTGCACTGGGCGGGAGGCTTCTCCATGCACTGGGGACGTTGTTTTTGTAAGAAAGACTGGGACTCCCCGTCCACCCACCCTGGTGCATTCCTTTACAGCCTCTGTAGGAAGCGGCTGCTGGAGCAGACACCTGGCAGTTCAGGTGCTTCAGAGAACGCTGGCTGCAAGTTCCTGACTGAGATGTGGGGAGAAGAGTGGGCTGCTACCATACACAGAAAGCCACACCTCACCCTGGTGGAGAAGGCCTGAGGGCAAGAGGCGTTGGGCGCGGGGCATGGGGGGCTGCTGGGGTACCTGCATCAGTCCTCCCCAAGGGAGGAAGGTGGCATCTCACGGTCAGCATGCAGGGTGCTGCAGCAAGCCCAGGTGCAGGGCCCACAGAGAGCCAGGCCTGGTGTGGGATTTGGGGTCCCAGCACCCACTCCCTGGCTTGTGGAGGGCTAGGAGTGCCAAGGGCCTTCCCCTCCAGTGGCCTAGCTCTCTCAGGCTGTTTACATTTCCCACACACCAGGGTTAGGGTTAGGAGATCTGAAAGCGACCACCCAACTCCCATTTTAGGACACTCTGCCCTGTCCTGTCCTGGGAAGGCCGTCAACCCTTCTGCTCTCTTTCACCCAGCCAAAGGAGGCAGCTACCCACATTTACAATCAGCACCCGCACAGTGCAAGAAACGCCACCAGATGGCACTGTTCTACAAGCAGAGCGCGCAGTACAGGAAACGCCACCAGATAGTACTGTTCCACAAGCAGAGTGCACAGCGCAGAAAACGCCACCAGATGGCACTGTTCTACAAGCAGAG